CGAAAGGAAAAAGGAAAGGAAAAGCCACTGCATCACAACCCCCAGTTGTTCCTGATGACTACACTGAAGCACTTAATGCAATGAGGATCACACGTGAGAAAGAAATTGAAGCAATTAACAAGATTGGAGAAATTAAGATGCAAAAATTAACCTTGAACACGCTTAACAACAAAATGAATATGCTCAACAATTTGATAGGTAAAAGCAACTTGTTTCCTCAAGAAGAAGCTGTCAAAAACCGCCTTATGCAGGAATTATTCCCATGATGGTTTAGTTGGTATGATTGTGCTCTTTTTTATGTAATCATCTATTTAATGTAATCGTTTGTTTATGTAATTGTCTAGCCAATGTAATTTTATTTTATGTAATCGTCTGTTTATGTAATTGCCTATTTAATGTAATCGTTGTGGTTTTATTTTATTTAATCGTCTATATATGAAATTGTCTATTTAATGTAATCGATGTGGTTATATTTTATTTAATCGCCTTATTTTAAATCAAATCAAATAAAATAATTATATAATAATATTAATATTAAATCAAAGCAAAATAAAATAATTATCAAATAAAATAATTATATAATTATATTAAATCAAAGCAAATAAAAGAATTAATTAATAATTAAAATAAAATGAAATAAAAAATTATATAATAATTAAATAAAATCAAATTAAGAAAAAAAAATGTTGTTGTTGGATGTTGGTGTGGTTGCTGATAAACTTGCAAAATTGAGATGGTGTGGCTGGGATGATTATTGATGATGTGGAAGAGAGATAAATTAATTAAATAGTAGGGTGGTTGGATGGTTGGGTGTTTGGAACGGTTGCTGTTATTCGTAGTCTCAACGCACTTCCGCAGAGAAGGAATATAATATTAGCAACTTGTACCATAATCATTAGGTGACAAGATCGTTTGACAACCTCAGTCCAAAGCTGTCCGAAAAGTTTTGTTGCATTAAATCCCGACATCATGTCAATTAATTGCAAATTCAGATACACTAATGAACAATGGCCAAATATATCTCACTATAAATACTCCTAATATTGCTCCCAAAAGGCAGTGCTACTATCGTGCACCCTGGCACACCTAACAAGGTATACCAAGATAATTTAAAATGAACATGCGTAAACATGTTTATATATGTTCATTCTATTATGTAACATGTACATTTTAAAAATGTCTTGGCACACCTTGCTAGGTGTGTCAGGGCGCACCTAAGTATTTGCGCCCAAAAGGGGGATGAAAAATTTGAGAAATGGAAAAGAACATTTCATACAATAAATGTTCTATTTAAATGGTTAAAAATCCAACCCGAACTTCTTCTTAAATGATATGTATTCCCAACACTTTTATCAAGATATACATAAACTTTTGTTGTCTAAAAATCTTAGGCAATAATAGTTAGCATGGTTGTTTTCATCATTTGATCGGTCTTCCTCCAATCACATGATTCTCCAAGTTTTGTGGCGTCAACCTTGGCCGTCGTGCGTCCAGTATATATCTCCCCTCGTTAAGTACTTGTTCAACCGCCACTGTTGAGGCTAGGACTGCGTAAATCTTCTTGGCCATATTGCATGGAATATGATAAATGCAGCTCATTTTTTACCACAATTCAAGACGTCGAATTTGAGTGACGGACTTGGTGTACGAGCAATGTTAAGCCTCAAATTCGACAAGAGGTAGTGATCGAGCTTCTGGTATCAACTTTCCATTGCCCTTGGGTTCGAACCACCCGCATGTGAAGAAGACCACCAATCCCCAAAGTTTGAGGGTTGGTACATCATTTGTCACGCATAAGGCACACAATAAGAAGAAGAAGGAGACCCGCCGAACCAAGAAGCAAAAGACGTCGCACTTTTCCCTGTTGCGACTGTTTTATCCCTAAACATTTCATACAAAAATTTTTGTGCTAGCTCGACGAGCTGACGTGAGTTAGGTTTTTTAGGCTCGACTCCCGTTGGAAGTGGGAGTTCATACATAATATCATAATAAGTGTGAACTTTGTTGAACAAACCACTAAGTTTTAATGATGAGTATAACAAACATGCAACTAATAATGTGACAGGAATGTAATAATAATAATTTAACCATTTTGATAACAATTCTCTAACAATTCACTGTATTTATCATGATCATTAGTATAATTATCCTTAAAAGACCAAACTACGGCTACACATTGAGCAATCACAAGATGAGATGTAGGATAGTAAATATCAGAAAGTATGTTAGTAGCATTTTGAAATATTTATAAACGAATTATGACTGTTGGTCGGCGTCAGATAGGCAGAGGGCCTTGGGTCACCAACGATCAAACGATTCAACGGTAAAATTATTAGACTGATCTGCAACGGTCCGATCATGATCTGAATTCGTGTCGAATCCGGGTCGATTTGGCGGGTCGGATGACCCTTAACCATGTATACACGAATGTATGTTAATTCAACGAAAAAAAGCTCGGTTAGGAAGTGATTTTTCTTCCCATGTGCCCTTTTGGCTCCCAATAATTTCCTCATTGATTGTAAAACGAATTTCCCAATGCATTTTATTAATCAGCATCGTACCTTAAACGTCCCTCCACCAATGTAGCGTCCGGTGGTCCTCCTCTACAGTTTCCATTTGTGTACTAAAGTCGCCAGCCATTCAACACACTTGTTACTGAAACTGTAGAGAACAGCAAAAAAGGAACCAGAGACAGGCCCTACCAAAATCTTTCCTTCATTGGTGATTGTATCAAACAGTTCACTTGCACAAATCTCAATCCCATTGCTTCAATTTTGAATGAAGCATAGAAAATGTGACTCCAATTATATATACATCCGATTTTTAATTATTGGAGCAACACATATCTCTAATGTGTGTGATTTAAAAAAATTTATGTACAATTTTATTTTTTTGGATGAATATATATTGGTGCGTGTTATATATATTTACGCGTAATATAGGAAATAAAATAAAAAATCGATATGTATCATATACCTGATTAAGTACACCTTTCAAGGACCTATTACGTAGACCGTGGGTGGTTACGGTGAAACATGTCTTCCGTGAAGCGAATTTTGCGGCCGATTTCTTGGCCTCCTTCGCGGCGGAAGGCCCTTTGGGTTACCAATTCTTTCAGGATCCACCGGAGGAGATTCGTCATTGGTTACACCATGATTTAGTTGGCGTGGCCTATCCACGATCCATTTACAATCTAGCTTCCTAGGCGTGTAGCCTCATCTTTTGTACCAAAAAGAAAAGTACACCCTTCAATTTTATCATACAAATCAAGAGATTAATCAAAAGTTAAATCTTTAACACAAATTAAATTTTTGTTTTCAAGATTTCTTAAGATTCTAGTTTGTTTGTTTTTTAATTTTTTTACCAAATTATTGAAAATTTTAAATATATATATGAAATTTGAAGCATGATTAATCTTAAAAAAATGTAACAGTATGAACAAATTCCAATAATAAATAAATTGGAACACCTCATAATTTATACAATTTCTTTTTTTTAACAAATTTTTTTTTTAATAAGTACTTCCATACTTTTAACAATGTTTAAAAAAAAATATATTGGATATATTATAATAATAGAAGATACCGGTTTTACTATAAAGTCAATAGTTGGCTCCATAGTGGAGTCAACTTTCTATATACGACAATAAACCTATCATATTAATAAAATTATATTAGTGTTATTTAAGTAATCAGAAAATATGGTAAGTTTACTTATTGCATATAGAAGGTTGGCTCCACTATAGAACCAACTGTTGGCTTCATAACAAAACCGGTGGTTCCGTAACGAGACCTTAGTATTTTCCTGTACTAGTTCAAAAAATTCAGAGAATAATCTTATTTCTCCTTGCTTTTAGCCTTATTAAGAGCCTTCCTTTATTTTTTTTTTATTTTTTTTTATTTTTTTTTTTGGTACAAAGAAGGAGGCCGGTGGCCTAAGACTTAAGTACGAATACGTCGGGGGTACGAAACCCCAATAATATCATGTTGAAGCCAGTCGCCTACACTAGGAGGCGGTGAAGGGAGCACATGGAGACCAATCGGATAGGAAGACGCGAGGCTCGCTAAGTGGTCTGCTGCAAAATTTGCCTCTCGATGCACATGTCGAAGATCAACAACCCAGTTCCAATGGAGCATCTGACGAACGGACTTAACTAATGCACCATTCGCCCCAAAATCATTTCCGGATCCACATACCATTTGGAGCACACACTGACTATCAATTTCCACAACAACTTTGCGAAACCCTTTATCCCACGCAAGCTGAAGCCCCTCAAAAAGGCCCCATAGCTCCGCACCAGTGATAATACAGTAGCCAATATGCATGACAAAACCCATAGACCACCTCCCCATTTCATCACGAATAAGGCCACCCGCACAGCCGAGCCCGGAGGCCATGTCAAAAGCCCCGTCAGTATTAACTTTAATCCACCCGGGGTCCGGAGGGGACCAACAAATCAATCGGGACTCGTAGCGGCCCACATCAGCTCCTATCTTAGCAAAACATCGCGAGGAAATAGAATAGGAGTCCAACCGATGGAGCACATCCACACGTCGGGCCTCGCAGCTAACGGAGCAGCCATTAAAAATGCGATCGTTCCTCCACGCCCATGCTCTCCAAACCACAATAGAAAACAAGCTAGCCCAGTTCGTGAAACCGCCAAACCGAACCTTCGTTAGATTACGCATAAACCACGACCGCAGAGGTTGCTCAAAAAATTCCACGCCATGGTCCGCCGGGAGGAATTTCTGCCATAGGGTCTTAATATGGGGGCAATCACGCAACACATGCAAGGTCGTTTCACGGTGGCCACAATAATCGCAGCACTCATAAGAAGAAAGATGACGTCGAGCCCTTTCTACGTCGATGAGGTCGTTATTTTTTTATTTTTCAGTCACAAGTAAACCAACTTTCAGTAAAAGAATCTGAAAAGACCCAAACTCAAAAACCTTCACCGAGAAACACACACACACACACACGCACCAACCGCCATGAAAGCCATGACCGCAAGCTCACCGCCACCACCGTCCTCAGCCCACGCATTCGCAAAGATAGTAGCTTTCTCTCTCCTCACATTAGCCCTCCTCCTCCTCTTCAGACTCTTCTCTCTCCACCCCGACGTGGCCCAGAACCTCCACCTCTCCTTCTTCAACTCGGCCCCCTCCGCCGGCCCCTCCTCCCCTCCGCCGTCGCCGCCGCCTACGAACAAGCCTCCGGCGGCGGTGGTCGAGCGCACCGGGATCGTGAACGAATTGGGTATCATGACCGACGACTTCGTGGTGGGGGAATTTGACGAGGGCATGATTGAGAGTGTTGTGGTGGACTTCAATAGCAGCGTTGTGAAGGGAAAAAGTGACGGCGAGGATAAAAAGGTTGTTAAAGTTGAAAAATTTAGGATTTGTGAAGGGATTGTAGGTGATTATGTGCCCTGTTTGGACAATGTGGGTTTGATTACGAGGTTTAATTCATCGGTCGAAGGTGGAAATGATGAGAGGGGCTGTCCTGAGAAGGTGAAGGTTTTGGATTGTTTGCTGCCTTGGCCTAAAGGGTATAAGCTTCACATTGCGTGGCCGAAAAGCCGGGAAGAGGTGCTTGTTTTTCATTTCTTGTGTTTCTTGTTGATAATGTTTAGTATTTATTGATCAATGGTGAGATTTTGTTGTTATGTTCTTTCTTGATTTTGGATTATAAATAGGGACTTTGATTTGGTCACATGTAGAAATGAATGATGGTGTTTCTGTTGAGGAGTAGGTCATATACATACATGATGATGATAAAAGTCTAACTTTTTAACTTGTTTGAGTTTCTATAGAAGAATCCGAGCAAATACATATTTTCAATGGAACAAAAAAACTTCAATGTTAGACTGTTTGCAAGATGATTCCCTGCTTTGCTTGATGATAATAGTTGATATGGGCAGAATCGGTTTTAATGGCTCCGGTTCTTATATATTGTGTGTAATTTATAAGCTCTGATCTTTAGTTTGAAACAAAATTATTAGATGTTACAATGCAATTGCAGTTGTGGTTTGCCAATGTACCTCATACACCTCTTGTTGAAGCCAATGGAGGTCAAAATTGGATATCGAAAAAAGGCGATAAAATCATATTATCCGGACATGAACCTCCATTTATCAATGGTGTCAACCAATACTTGGACCAGATATCCAAGGTTTTCTATCAACCATCTCTCTTGGTTTTTTCTTCTTTTATTTTTAATGTTTTTCATATTTTATCTACTTAATCGGAGGTTTTGGCGAAAATGAATTTAGATGGCTCCTGAAATAAAATTCGGGCAACGTACACGGGTTGCTCTGGATGTTGGCTCGGGCATTGCGAGTTTTGGTGGATACTTGATGGATCGAAATGTGACGACCCTTTCTATAGATTCGAAAGATTTTTCTAATAATCAGATACAAATTGCACTCGAGAGAGGTGTACCTGCAATGTTGGGTGCATTTGGAAAGCTTGGTTTGCCTTATCCAAGCCAAGCTTTCGACTTGGTCCATTGTGCTAGACCTGGAGTTAATTGGACTAGTGAAGGTATGCATGTGATATTTTCAATTAATTTTTTTTTTTTTTGTTTTTTTTTTTTTTTTTTGCTTGCAGTTATTGAAAAAGATAGTGGTAGAAATTTGTGATTTTCAGGAAGAAGTTAAGTGAGTTAATTTGTTGATTTAGAAAATGGCTAAATATAGGAATTGATTGATAAATAATGTAACACCCCGCTTTTCCATAAATATCAGAGTGCATTTTTCGCAAAACTTTTC